TTTCAAGAACAGCTTCCTTGTTTTGCGTTTTCCTGTCACTAAGTAGAGAGGGTTTTGTTTGGGGATTTTACTATAAAATTGGCCCAGGTCCGACAACGATCCACTTCCATACTTTGAAATTATCTCTTTCTTATTTCAACAGTATTAGCCCCTTGGTTCGAAGGGTTTGGCACTAAAAGCTTTCTGGGGCCCCATGGTGACTTATTTTCAGAAACAAGCACCGAAAACAGTGATAATATGGTAATTGGAATGTACCGAATGTTCCTTGGTGCTTGCCACTGGTGGCTTGAAAAAAGGGGCACGTCTCGTAAGATGTATCCGTACCGGGGTTTTTTAACGGGAACCGAGGCAAATTTTTTGCGTTTTAGCGCTTCGGTACCGGGGGTTTTTCGGTTACGATGATTTGCAAAAAGGGGGACCATGATATATATATTATTTTTATATATTTTTATATATATATATTATATATATATATATATATTTATATATATTTATATATATATTATTATATTTTATATATTATATAATTTTATTTATTATTATAATTAATATATATTTATATTAAAAATTTATATGTACATGATAATGGCAGACCATGTATTACCATACAGAACTTTAGATAACTTTTATTCGAAGTGGAGAATCCTGATTTTTTTCTCTTCACTCTTTCGAAAATCGTTAAAATTTAAAGAATATTTTAGGATACGTTCTATGTAACTTACAAGTCACACCTTCGAGAAGCAGCTTAATATAATACCCGTCAAGGAAAATGAGCGTGTTGTTGGGGTGGTGGTGGCCACAGTAGCCATGTCGGAGGCAAGGCGAGGTTTTTGTATCAGAGCTCCCGCGGGAGGGTCGCAGGGCTCCACGGTACCAGTTGGGAGTGGTACACCTGCTCTCCCGGATACCCCGTGAGGTTTTACAGGTGTCCTCAGACGGTGCCCCGCCCGGGACCCAAAACCCCCTTTCCCCTGAATTTTGGGGGTAAGTTTTTTTACTTAGTAGATGGAACAAAAAAATTTCCCTTTCCTGTTTGATTTATGAGGCCCCCAAAAAAGGTTGGTGTTTCTCGTGAATATTATTCAAAATTATTTTCTTATACCAAAACATTAAATAAATTTTAAATTGTATTAAGTTAAATTTTAAAAAGTAAAAATTTATTTATGGTTACAATGTCGGTTTTTATATTAACATTACTTTTTTCATCCACAAGAACCTTTTGCATAAAATTTTGATGCATTCCACACACACATTGTACTTATGGAGAGGAAATATTTTTTCCCACGTTTCGACAGTCTTGAAAACCCTTTTGTTGGACTTGATTATTGATTTTAAAAAAAAACCCAAAAAATTGTCTAAAAATTTTTTTTTCCCCAAAATATTTGGTTTACCTGGAGTTTAACTGGAGAGAGTTCCGGGGGGTCAACGCCCCCCCGCCGGTCTGTGACCAGGCCTCCTGGGGGATCGGCCCGTTTAACCGGTCTTCTGCTGGTTACGCAAAACCAAGTACGAGCCACAGCCCCGGTGGTCAGGAACCGACTTTGGGTGTTGTCCAGTGCCAGCTTAAAGGGTGCCAGGGGTCTGTTGGTAATCCCCTTTGTATGCTGGGAGGGTTGAACAGTCTCGGGCCCCGACATTATTGTATGGTCTTTAACGTGCTAGTGACCCCCCTGCTTTTCATTGGGGGATGTTGATCGTCTCCCAATTCTTTGCTTTGTAGTGAGTGATTTTGTGTGCAAGTTGGGTATAGTCCCTCTAGGTTTTCCAGGTAAAATTTTAATCATGATCTCTCCCCCCTGCGTTCCGGGGAATACGGGTTTTTGGAAACCCTAAAGCGTCCAAAATTGAGGTGTTTTATCCCCGTTATGCGCCCCCGTGAAGGTTTCTGACTTTTTTCAGGTCAGAAATTTTTAAACCTGCTTAAAAGGTGTGTTGTGTGCGCAATATTCCGCCAGATGAACGTGCCTAAAGAGTGTCTCTGGTTTGGCCCCCCCTAGTTTTGAGGTTTCATTATCCATCTGTCTTTTTTCTAGCAATGCGTTTGATACAATGTTATGGTCTGAAGGGTGAGATCTCCGAATGATCACCCCCAGGTTTTTGAGTTGGTGTTTCCTTATTTTGGGGCCCGAATTTTTTTTTTGTCCCTCTGATAAAGATTTAATTTTCCTCATGTTACCCTGGAATTAAAATTTTTTCTCATCTTTGAACTTCATATTGTTTTTCTGCAGCCACTGAAAGATTTGGTTGATGTCCCCCTGGAGCCTTGCAGTGCTGAAATGGAAGAACTGTCATGCGATTCGGGGGGGTCATCTGAAAGGGAAAGAAGGTGCTGGGGTGATCCTTGTTATGTCAGATTTGAGGATGGGGAAACAAGATGGGAGCGAGTACTGTGCCTTGTGGAACAGAGCTTTTCCCCGTGCTGCCTCGGGCTTTACCTGTTGACAATACTCTCTGTTTTGTTAGTGAGAAAATTTAGATCCACGATGACTTTTCCTATTATTCCTTTTGCCCCTTTTTTTTGCGTATTAGCCGGGCACACTTGTCGAAGGTTTTGCAAAGTTGTTTATTCACTGCATTCTTTTTTTTTCAGGCATCTAGGACCTTGTGTGTGACCAAAATTGAGACAGACAGGAGCGCCCGTTCTAAAACCCCTGTTGCCTGATTGTGTAAATAGGGTTTCTAGTAGGGGGTGGGTTTCTTTCTTTTTGGGCAAATTTAAAGTTTTTTTTGATATGGGGTGTTAGTGCTATCGGTCTGTGTTTTTGCTGTTGCTTTTCTGCCCCCTTTGTGGGTGGGGCTATGTCGTTGTTTTTGTAAAAATGGGACGCCCCCGTGTCCCTGCTCCTCTCATGGATGGAAAGGCTGTGAAGGGGCTTTTTTCAGTTCTTGATGAACACGGGTTCCATGAGTCTGGCCCCGGGGCAGGTGAGGGCATGTCATTTTTTCGCCCGTTCGAATCATTTGGCGTCAGGATAAAACGGTAGGGGTTTTGTTAACCCCAAAATTTTCGGTCTCTATAAAAAATCATTTTTATCTTTGACCCCAGTTGGTTAGCGGGTTGTAAAAAAATGAGTCATACTGGGACTTGAGTAGTCACTCATTTCCTTCTGTCATCTGTGTTTGGACCATCTTGTTTAAATAGGGGCCAATACTGGCGTTGTTCTCGACTTTGATTTGGCATAGGAGAAGAAAAACTTTTGGGTTTCTTTCGATTTATTTTGGCTTTTTGTTATTTCCACGATTCCTGACTCCTATAAGATTTCCCTTTTGCTTAAGTTCGTGCTTGCTATTTTTTGACCAGTGTCTCCCCACGCATTTAGATATATGACCTCTTTGCCCCCGTTATTTTTTCGTCCCCGAAAGGGAGCGCCTGTCCCTTTTATTTTACATTACTCCTTTTTTCTTAGAGGATAAGCCTTGTGCATAATCGATGCACCAATTTAAATTTGTTCTAGGCTAAGTTGGGGTTTGTGTTGTTAGTATATCTTCCGTGATATTTTTGGACTTGGTTTATTGGTCCCACTTTATGATTTGTTTTGAAGTTGAATTTGGTGAATGCCCCTTCGTGACTAGTCTCTTATGCGGTCGGGGGCCCCGCGCATACATGTCTAAACCCTAAATTATGTTGTGTCTGGTATATTTTTTTTCGATATGGTGACATTTCTTACAGGTCATCTTGTTAGTGAAGTGAGGTCTAGTGTTTCCCCAGTCTAGTAGGCTCTATTATTTGTGGTTTAAATTGAATTTTGGCAGAGTTTTAAAGCTCGTGTGAGTGTGAGTTTTCTCAGGCTGCCTCCTGTTGTTATTACGCAACATATTATTGTATTTTCCCCCTTTTTTAGGTGTTTAAGTTAAACCCCCCAGGAGAAAGATGTTGGGTGCAGGAGCGGGAAATTTTCCAGACAGTGGTCTTTTTAAAACAGCTGTTCCGGGAAATTTGCGGGGGATGTTGCATCCGGAGGTTTGAGCTCCAAAATGACTAGGTTTGGTTCGCGACCTTTACTGCTAAAACTTCCTACATCATTTGAGGCATTAAGATTCTATGCAAAAAGTGACTCTGCAATGTAAGGCCAACCCCCCCCCTTTTTTTTTGTTCACTCTGCACTCTGTTAGGTTTTAGCCTGGGTCCCTATTTCGTTTCCAAGTGTCTTTATGTGGGTCTCAGTGAAACCGGGGAACATTGCCTTTGCTCTGCAAACGTCCAAGGATGAAAAATATTTTTTTTGTTTGTTTTCTGGTTTAGCCCCGTTATTTGCAAGAGATGTCATCGGACTGGTGGTTTTGTTGGTAGGGGGTGGGGATTTTTTTTCCCGGGTTAGTATCTGTTTGTTGGGATGGGTGGAGGGCCTCGACTGTGGTTCCACTCCAGGAAAACTGGAGGTTCCTGGAGGTTATTTCCGGGGTCAAACCCCCCCCCGGCCCGGTCCTGACAGGCCCTCCCGATGGATCAGGGCCCGATAAATAGGTGGGTTTCTGCTGGGGCCCCACGCGTCCGACGTACGAGCCACAGCCGGCTGATCGGCACTGTTTTTTGGTTCTGTCCGCTCTCTCTTGGACAGCCAGGGGGTTTTTTGGCCTTTCCCCCAATGTTTTCTCTTAGTTTTCTAATGGCGCCCTACTTTTTATTGGCGGCCCTTTTTCATCGCCTGCCCCGTCTTTTTTTTTCGTAGGGGTGATTTTTGTGTGCAGATTTGGGCCCATTCCTTCCAAGATTTTCCAAGTGTAGATTATGATATATCTCTCATTCCTGCGTTCCAACGAGTACAAGTCAAGTGCTTCCAAGCGTTCCCAGTAGAATGACTGGATTTGGTGTACGATTTCCCCATTTCCTGCCAGTTTTTTTTTTCCTTCCTGGCACTAAAAAACCTCTCCCTCTTGAGTGGCTGTGGCTACCCAGGTTTTCCCATGGCCTGGATGTTTTGTATCTTTTTGTTCCCTTTAGATGGTGTGCCTGGCAATTTAAGTTATAGCACAGTCTTTCCTGTACTGAAGAGGTACACATTTCAGGGTCGGAATTTCTTTTCCAGGAAGGATAATATGGCTTTTATTTTGCTTAGGTTTCATTTTTTCTCAGGCTTTGCTGGAGCGCAGGAGGGTCAAGCAATGACCAACGTCCACACACTGACCGACACCAGATCTGGACTCACTTCCACAGGTTAGTTAATCGCCTTTCCTCTCTTCTTCAGCATGAAATAAAATACGTTGTCAAAGAGAAAATTTCCAATCTTTTAATTAACTGATTTTTCATGAACTGTGCCATACAAGTCAATAGTCAGGCAAGATTACCACAGCTGTAAATGAGAGGAGTAGAAGTTCCACAGAAAACGATCTACATAGGTTTTTCGTAGCGGTGGCTGATATATTAGGCGTGTATTAGTTGCTTAAGAATAGCTAGTTGAGTACAACTAGGAAATTTCTTTCTCGCTTCTATCTTCTTGCACATAAATATGCTCTTTACGAGAATATAATAGTAATCCCAGATATGCATTTTAATATAGCTTCTTTACAATTGCTTCTGTATAATTATGATCGTTTCTCTTCAGGGGTGAAAGGAGTAGTAAAGGACCTGGGTAAGGTGCGGGGAGAAGCCAGTGCCCTCAATCAAAACGGAAATGTAGCCAGTTCCTGTAAGTATGAGTGTGAGGCCCCTCTGGAGATGAGGGCACAGACAAGTGATGTGCTGTCAACTATATACAAGATTACTCACAAATCACAGAAAGAGTGGGGATCGAACCCATGGTAAAGGGGTCCTAAAACTCCCAGCCAGTGCGTTAACCACTGGGCCAGCTGGTCTTTGTATGACTTGTTTAGCTAGGTATATATATCTATACACCTTAGTGAGGTTTGCATGGACCACAAATATGACTACAAGTACAAGTTATTATAGATGAGTCCCACACCAGCATGGCAGTGGTGTGTTCCAGCTCAAGTCTCTTCAAAGCTGCCATTATGACTCACGAAATCGTAATAACTTGATTGCAAATAAATCACTAAATCACTGGTTACTGTCAGTCACTGCTGCGACTCTAAATGCAGATTTTTAAGGAGTACTTCCCTACCTGTTGATAGATCTAGCTCTTGTCCTCCTTAAAGCATTTGTCAGTGATCCTAAAACCATTAAACAATTAATGTACCAGGGGGTAATACACTGGAAGTTTGTAAGCTGAATTTTGACTGATCATATCGTTGAAAAAGAAGTGTGCGTGGACAATCCTGTAGGTCAGTGCGTCAAATGAATATATATGTATATATATAATATATATTATATATATATATATATATATATATATATATTATATATATATATATATATATTATATATTATATACATATATATATATATATATATATATATATGTATGTATATATTATTAATTGTTATTATCACACTGGCCGATTCCCACCAAGGCAGGGTGGCCCGAAAAAGAAAAACTTTCACCATCATTCACTCCATCACTGTCTTGCCAGAAGGGTGCTTTACACTACAGTTTATAAACTGCAACATTAACACCCCTCCTTCAGAGTGCAGGCACTGTACTTCCCATCTCCAGGACTCAAGTCCGGCCTGCCGGTTTCCTGAACCCCTTCATAAATGTTACTTTGCTCACACTCCAACAGCACGTCAGGTATTAAAAACCTTTGTCTCCATTCACTCCCATCAAACACGCTCACGCATCCCTGCTGGAAGTCCAAGCCCTCGCACACAAAACCTCCTTTACCCCCTCCTCCAACCTTTCCTAGGCGACCCCTACCCCGCCTTCCTTCCACTACAGACTGATACACTCTTGAAGTCACTCTGTTTCGCTCCATTCTCTTACATGTCCGAACCACCTCAACAACCCTTCCTCAGCCCTCTGGACAACAGTTTTGGTAATCCCGCACCTCCTCCTAACTTCCAAACTACGAATTCTCTGCATTATATTCACACCACACATTGCCCTCAGACATGACATCTCCACTGCCTCCAGCCTTCTCCTCGCTGCAACATTCATCACCCATGCTTCACACCCATATAAGAGCGTTGGTAAAAACTATACTCTCATACATTCACCCTCTTTGCCTCCAAGGACAAAGTTCTTTGTCTCCACAGACTCCTAAGTGCACCACTCACCCTTTTCCCTCATCAATTCTATGATTCACCTCATCTTTCATAGACCCATCCACTGACACGTCCACTCCCAAATATCTGAATACATTCACCTTCTCCATACTCTCTCCCTCCAATCTGATATCCAATCTTTCATCACCTAATCTTTTTGTTATCATCATAACCGTACTCTTTCCTGTATTCACTTTTAATTTTCTTCTTTTGCACACCCTACCAAATTCATCCACCAATCTCTGCAACTTCTCTTCAGAATCTCCCAAGAGCACAGTGTCATCAGCACTTTATATATATATATATATATATATATTATATATATATATATATATATATATTATATATATATATATTATATATTATATATTATATATTATATATATTATATTATATATATATATATATATATAGTAAGGTTATGAGGATAACAAAAAGATTAGGTGATGAAAGATTGAATATCAGATTGGAGGGAGAGAGTATTTGGGGGAGGTGAACGTATTCAGATATTTGGGAGTGGACGTGTCAGCGGATGGGTCTATGAAAGATGAGGTGAATCATAGAATTGATGAGGGAAAAGAGTGAGTGGTGCACTTAGGAGTCTGTGGGAAAAAGAACTTTGTCCTTGGAGGCAAAGAGGGGAATGTATGAGAGTATAGTTTTACCCAAAGTCTTATATGGGGGGTGAAGGTGGGTGATGAATGTTTCGGAGGGAAGGGTGGAGGCAGTGGAGATGTGTGTTGAGGCAAGTGTGGGGTGAAATTTAAAGCAGGAATTGTAGTTTGGGAAATTAGGAGGGGGTCGGGGGTTGCCTGCACTCTAAAGGAGGGGTTTTAAATTTGTTGCAGTTTAAAAAACTGTATTTTGGTAAAGCACCCTTCGGGCAAGGGCAGTGATGGAGTGAATGAGGGTTTGAAAAGTTTTTTTTTTTTCGGGCCCCCCTCCCTTTGGGGGGGAATCGGCCAGTGGGGATAATAAAAAAAAAAAAAAAAAAATATATATTATATATATATTTTTATTTAATTTTATAAAATTATTATAATATATATATAAAATTTATATCGTGCCGAATATGTAAAATGGCAGTTAGCAAGAACTCTTTTAAAATTAAAGTCCTTTCTAAAATTTTCTTACACGTTTAAAAGACATATTTTTTTCATTAATGTTAATGTAAAAAAATTTAAGTTTGCACCAAAAAAATCCTAAAAAAACTTACCAAACCTTATTTAACGTCCCAATTTATTTTAGCCAAAACCCAACTAAATATTTTTGATTTGTTACAATGGGTTTTAATTTTAAAACAAAAACAGTAAAATAATATTTTTTCGTTAGGTTCAAAAATGATTTTGGCGAAATTTTGCTAAAAAAATTTTCGCTTGTCCTATAGGGAAGATGAGCGTTGTATTTAAGCCAAGATCGAAAGTTTGCCTTTTTCAGCCCATTTTATTTTTTAAAATATATATTTTTATTTTATATATTTATATTTTTTTTATATAATTATAAAATTTATTTTAATATATATTAAAAATTTTTAAAAAAATAATTTTTATTATATATATTTATATATATAATTATAATTTTAAATATATATATATATATATTATTTATATATATTTTTATTTATTTATATAATTTATTTTTATAATTTTTTATATAATTTTTATAATTATTTAAATATATATTATTATTATATATTTACATAAAAATATATATATTAATTTTTTTTAATATATTTATATTTTATTTATTAAAATATTTATAATATATATATATTTTATATATATATATTATATTTAAATTATTATATTCAGGGGATTAGGCGGCCAAAGCAGAGGGGTTCGAGTCCTTGGTAGTGCGTGTTGCTATTGGTCTTACCACTCTTTGTGGTCACAATAATATAAAATACTGCTGTTGTACTAGTACCCCAAACAGGAACTAGAATGAAATTAGCTGAGTCCCCCAACCATGTGTGCCCTGGGTAGCGAGCACAACATTCAGTTCGCTGGATGCGTTAAATTTTTGTACGTTGGTCCAGGGTTAGGGTTTATTGTTTTCGCCCACCAAAAGGCAGGCCAAAGCAGCATGGGTTCGAGTCTTGGCAGTGCAGTGTTTTTTATTGATCAACATCACTCGTTCGTGGTCACAATATATATTATATATATATATATTTAAAATATAATATATATTATAATATATATATATTTATTATAAATATATAATGCAATAGGATCGCATATGCCAATAGGCTAGGGTGTCGCAGTGTCCTTCTTCTTTTTCTTCGTTCTTTTATTACTATTTTCATATATGCAGAAACCACTGCAAGAAAACAGTGAAATCCAAGCGTTTCGTGATTTACTTATCATGGATAAAGTGAGAAGTCCGAAAGCGTTTGGAATTTTCATGTTTTCTTGCAGCGGTTGTTTGGTATTTGTTATGTCATATATGAAAAAAAATAAAAAAGAAGGGAACATACGCAGACTACTGGCCTATGCGAGGCAGGTCCCAATTCACCAATGGCTTAAGCCAATGCCTTGAC